TGAGCATAGATGCAAAAAGGTGCTTAGAGGGAAATGTATCCACTCTAATGCTTGTATTTGAAAAGAAGAAAGTTCTCTAGTCGTTAAGTTTCCATCTTAAGAAGTAGAAAAGTAGAGTAAATTAATCCCAGAGCAATCCAAAAGAAGGAAACAATAGAGAGTAGAATTCAATTAAATAGAAAGCAGAAAAATAATAGGGAATAATCCATAAAAAAAAGTTAGTTCTTTGAAATACTTAATAGAATCAAAAAATGTCTTGGAAGATTGTTAGGAAAAAATAGAAAAAAGAGGAAGACACAAATTACTGATACTCACCCTTAGAAAACATTGGCAAACTTGAACAGCTCAATATCAATGAACAGTATTGAGTTTGAGTAAAAAATTTTTCCTGAAGAAAAACTCCAATTCCAGATGGCTTCACTGTTTACTTCTGTCAAATATTTGAAGAGGAAATATTACCAAGCCTACACAATTAATTATATAAAATAATGGAGGTGGGAACCTTTCCCTTCTCATTTTATAAGGCTAGTGTCACCCTCATTCCAAAAAATGGTCAGTGCTATCATAAGAAGAGAGAACTATATCAACAAAATATTAGCAAACCAAATCCAACAACACATAATAAGATCATACACCATTCATCCCAAGTTCACAAGGATGGTTCAACATACACAAATCAGTCAATGTGGTACACCACATAAAAGCCAAAAACCACATGACCATCTCAATAGATGCAGAAAAAACATTTGACAAAATTCAACATGTATTCATGATTAAAACTCTTACAAAAGTGGGTATAGAGGGAACATATCTCAAGATAACAAAAGTTATTCATGACAGACCTATAGCCAATATAATACTCAGTGGTGAAAAGCTGAAAGCTTTCCCACTAAAATCTGGAGCAAGACAAGGATACCCACTCTCACTTCTTCTATTCAACATAGTATTGGAAGTCCTAACCAGGGCAGTCAAACATGAAGAAGAAATAAAAGGTATCCAAACTGGAATGCAAGAGGTCAAATTGTTATTGTATGCAGATGATAATATATTATATATACAAAACCCTAAAGACTCCACATAAAAACTACTAGAAATGATAAACGAATTCAACAAGGTAGCAGGATACAAGATTCACATGCAGAAATTAGTTGCATTTCTTTTCACCAATGATGAACTATCAAGGAATATAAAAAAACAATACCTTTAAAAATTGCACCCCCCAAAATAAAATACTTATGAATAAATTTGATCAAGGAGGTGAAAGACTTATACACTGAGAACTACAAAACATTAATAAGGGAAACTGAAGATAATTCAAAGAAATGGAAAGATATCCCATGCTCTTGGATTGGAAGAATTAATATTGTTAAAATGGCTATACTATTCAAAGCAATCTACAGATTTGATGCAATCCCTATCAAATTACCCATGAGATTTTTCACAGAACTAGAACAAATAATCCTAAAATTCACATGGAACCATAAAAGACCCAGAATGACCAAAGCAATCCTGAAGAAAAAGAACAAAGCAGGAGGCATAACCCTCCCAGACTTCAGACAATACTACAAAGCTACAGTTATCAAAACAGTGTGGTATTGGCACAAAATCAGACATATGGATCAATGGAACAGTACAGAGAGCCCAGAAATAAACCCACACACCAGTTGTCAATTAATCTTCAACAAAGGGGGCAAGAATATACAACAGGGAAAAGACAATCTCTTCAGCAAGTGGTGTTGTGAAAGTTGGACAGCCGCATATAAATCAATGAAATTAGAACACATCCTCTCACCATACACAAAAATAAACTCAAAATGGCTTAAAGACTTAAACATAAGAAATGACACCGTAAAACTCCTAGAAGAGATCATAGGCTAAACATTCTCTGACATAAATCTTAACATTGTTTTCTTAGGTCAGTCTCCTAAGGCAATAGAAATAAAAACAAAAATAAACAAATGAGACCTAATCAAACTTACAAGCTTTTGCACAGCATAGGAAATGATAAACAAAACGAAAAGACAACTTACAAGAATGGGAGAAAATATTTTCAAATATTGCAGCCAACAAGAGCTTAATTTCCAAAATATGCAAACGGCTCATAACAACAACAAAACAAACAGCCTAGTCAAATAATGGGCAGAAGACGTAAATAGAGATATCTCCAAAGAACAAATATAGATGACCAATAGGCACATGAAAAGATGCTCAACATTGCTATTAGAGAATGCAAATCAAAACTGCAATGAGGTACCACCTCACACCAGTCAGAATGTCCTTCATTAAAAAGTTACAAATAACAAATGCTGGAAAGGGTGTGGAGGAAAGGGAACCCTCCTACATTGTTGGTGGGAATGTAAGTTGGTGCAGCCACTGTGGAAAACGGTATGGAGGTATCTCAGAAATCTACAGACAGAATTAGCATATGATCCAGCAATCCCACTCTTGGGCATATATTCATACAAAAGTATAATTCAGAGCTTCCCTGGTGGCGCAGTGGTTGAGTCCACCTGCTGATGCAGGGGACACGGGTTCGTGACCCGGTCCGGGAAGATCCCACATGCCACGGAGCAGCTACCCATGAGCCATGGCCGCTGAGCCTGCGTGTCTGGAGCCTGTGCTCCACAACGGGAGAGGCCACAGCAGTGAGAGGCTCATGTACCGCAAAAAAAAAAAAGTATAATTCAGAAAGCCATGTGCCCCTATGTTCATAGCAGCTGTATTCACAATAGCTAAGACATAGAAACAACCTAAGTATCCATCGACAGATGAATGAATAAAGATGTAGTACATATATACAATGGAATACTACTCAGCCATGAAAAAGAACAAAATAATGCCATTTGCAGCAACATGGATGCAACTAGAGATTATCATACTAAGTGAAGTAAGTCAGAAAGAGAAAGACAAAATATGATATCGCTTATATGTGGAATCTAAAATATGACACAAATGAACCTATCTATGAAACAAAAACAGAATCTTAGACCTAGAGAACAGACTGGTGGTTGCCAAGGGAGAGGGAGTTGGGGGAGCGATAGAATGGCAGGTTGGGGTTAGCAGATGTAAGCTTTTATGTATAGAATGGAGAAACAACAAAGTCCTACTATATAGCACAGGGAAAAAGCATGTATATATATTTATATATTTATATATATTTATGTATATATGTATATATATTATGTATATATATTTATATATATTTAACTGTATTACTTTGCTGTACAGCAAAATTAGCATTGTAAATCAACTATAGTTCACTAAAAATATTGATTTAGAAAAAGAAGAAAGAAGTAGCCCAATGTACTTGTGACTATAGTCAATGCAAAATTTCTTAACAGAAGTTTGACAAATCAAATTCAAAAAATATGCAAGAAAAAGGTTAATACATTATGACTAAATGGAGTTTATACTAGAATTCAGTTGTATTAACATCTGAAAATCATTCAACTAATTTCACTGCATTAATAGGATAAAGGAAAACTACATGGTCATTTCAACAGGTGCAGAAGAAGCATTTGAA